CCTTCCATCCCCCTGGCCACATCTTCTTGCCCAGCAATCCCAGGGAAGTGCGGCCAAGGCCAGAGGTATGCCGGCCAGGGGTTTTCTCTCTTACTTGTCTGGCCTCAGAGGATGCTACATATGGAGAGAAGGGGACTGGAGAGAGAACAAAGTTGGAGAGGACCACAAGCCTCGCTCTCCTCTCTGACTATCCCAACCCACCAACCCTGGGTCAGCCAGCCAGCCCCTCTCTGGACCTGCCCAGGAGCCAGCTCCTGGCTCTGTCCTCCAATTGGGAAGGTTCTCCTCTCCATCTACTCAAGCCATGCCTCCTCCAGGAAACCTTCCCTCCCCATCCCAGCCCAGGCAGGGGCAGAAACACGAGAATCCAGCCTTTGACCACCCCACCTAGGTGAACATCTGCCAAGGCCAACTCTCCCATCCTGTCCCTATGGCATAAGGCCGGGCTCCTGGGTCAAGGAGCGGCCATTGGGTTTTTCTCTGCCTCCCAGGGATGGAGGTAGGCCTGTGGTGTGGGAGTCGGGCTGCTTCTTGGCCTTCTGGAGGATGAGAAAGGCTGGCCTCCTGGCTCAGAGGCTGGCATGGAGGGTACAGGTAGAGGGAAATTGCCCTGCCTTCTCAGGATGGAATGAGGCCCAATCATGACACACCCGGCCTCTGGCCTGGAGGAATCTTAATCTGAACCTGTTTCCTAGGTGAGCGAGCAACAGGGCTGTGGTAGACCAGGTCAAAAGGTCACAAGACCTCTTGTTCCACCACCCTTCGACCTAAAAGTTCTGCCCATCATCCATCCTTCTAAGTCTGCCCAACCACCTCCTTCCCCAGGGTCATTCAGAATTCAGGGGCCTGCCCAGCCAGGACCCCAGCAACCAGAACCGACCCAAATTGGGGCCCTCCCTTTCCCCCTCATCTCTTGGGGGCTGCCCTGGGATTGGCACCCAGGACAAGCCAGGTGGCCTGCATCCTGGCCTTCCAAAGCCCTGCCCCAGAGAAGGCCAGACCTTGACAGTTGTTCATATTCTGATGCCTTGAGGAGTATGGGAAACCAAGAGGAAAGGCGGGGCAGGTTACAGACCTCGGAGGCAGCTTAAGGCCAGCAGACTGGGGGATAGGTCCAGAGATCAGGTACAGTGTGGCATACAAACCTCTCTAAGGCAGCCTGTGTGTGTGTGTGTGTGTGTGTGTGTGTG